ATGGAATTGGCTGTACATCCATTTCCATTTCATTCTCTATATGTAAAGATACATTTGGGTAGTTAAATTTATCTAAAGGTTATACAAACTTAAATATATTAGCAATATATAACCAATCATCTATACTATCATCATTATTTATCAGTTTTTGTCTGTTTATTTAGCTAGGGAGGAAATTACCTTCGTCTTTCCATATCTAACTAGCCAAACAGCTAGTTATCTTAGGCTGCTCATATAAAAAAGCATATATACACAGTTAATTAATATAAAATATCTAAGCCCGTTCATATCTATCTACCTATCTATCAAAGTCTGTTTCTATCTAAGTCTCTTCATATCTATCTATCTATCTCTCTATCTATCTATGTTTATATCTATCAATGTCTGTTCATATCTATGTATCAAAGTCTGTTCATATCTATCTATCTATCTATCTATCTATCTATCTATCTATCTTTTTATCTATCTATCTATCTATCTTCATATCTATCTATCTGTTCTATCTATCTATCTATCTATCTATCAATCTGTTCAAATTCTTTCTATCTATCTATCTATCTATCAAATCTTTCATATCTATCTATCTATCTATCTAAGTCTGTTCATATCTATCTATCAAAAGTCTGTTTCATATCTATCCATCAAATCTATCTATCTATCTATCTATCTATCTATCTATCTAAGTCTGTTCATATCTATTCATCTATCTATCTATCTATCTATCTATTTATCTATCTATCAATCAAAGTCTGTTCATATCTATCCATCTATCAAAGTCTGTTCATATCTATGTATCCAAATCTGTTCATATCTAAGTCTGTTCTTATCTATCTATCTATCTATCTATCTATCTATCTATCTATCTATCTAAGTCTGTTCATATCTATCTATCTATCTATCTATCTATCTATCTATCTAAGTCTGTTTATATCTATCTATCAATCAAAGTCTGTTCATATCTATCTATCTATCTATCTATCTATCTATCTATCAAAGTCTGTTCATATACATCTATCAAAGTCTGTTCATATCTATGTATCCAAATCTGTTCACATCTAAGTCTGTTCATATCTATATCTCTCTCTAAGTTTGTGCAACTCTCTCTTTCTCTCTCTCTCTATCTATATATATATATATATATATATATATATATATATATATATATATATATATATCTTCTTTGAACTGATTCACAAAGATATTTCTTGTTACCGATTTGCTGATATTAGAGAATTTATTATTATTATTATTATTATTATTATTATTCTGTTATCCGAAAACATAAGATGCGATGTGTAAATTGTCGCCATGTAATATTTGTAATTTCGCGCCAGCACATTCTTTGCTTTTAGTTATGTCGATAATAGGTTCGTTCGTCAGAAAAATAGCACCATGACGCAATTCACTCCAGAAATTTGGAAGCGACATGCTACACTGCTTGGCATTAGCGCCGAAAGTTCCAATACGCCCATTTCAGAGGGTCTGGGTGAAAATCTGAGAACAGTGCATAAGATTCGGAGAGAGTTGGATGAGTCTATTCGTGATTACGAAGGTACGGCAGCTCATAAAATTCACTTTGTTCGTTGTGATGAGAAAAGATCTCCAGAATTTGTTGGTGAGGGCCTTGAGGAGGTTGTGCTGCTCTAGGTCAAGAGGGTGGCTGCTGGGAGGCCGTATCCGGCATCAGGACTCCGCACTATGCCACACAAGGAGGAGAACCTAGTCATGGCTGTTATAGAAATGTCTACGACCTCATCACCTCTTATATCTGTCCACCTAACTCAACAGACTGCAACACTCTTGATTATTATAGGCGGGGCGAAGTTGAGCGAGAGGTCAACAAAACTCTTTATAACACCAAAGATGAACTGAAGGCAAAGATTTTGGCAGCATTCACCAACATAAAAAGAAACTGTCAGTAAGAGTTGAAAGAGATTCCGAAGTCGTCTGGAAGCCGTGGCTGAAGCCAATGGCGATTTTATTGACTAATTTTACTCTTTAGTAATTCAAGGTATTTTTGTTTAATTCTCGTAAATATATCTTTTAAATAAATATCAGTTTTATCTTCAGTTTTCGGTAATTTAGACAAAAATTTATCGAACGCACCCTCTACATACATACATAGCTACACATATATAATATATATATATATATATATATATATATATATATATATATATATACACACACAATTTAAACAATTCGCCCTAGCTGTTACCATGGGAATTTTGATTTCAATTATTAAAACACGTAAATTTCAGAAATACGTTATTCCAAAAAAAATTTAGCTTGAAGATGGAACAGAGCTTACTTTAACTCAATTTAATTCAAATAATTATATTGAAGTTTTCGGCTCTTGTTTTGAAACATGAGACCTCTTATGTTGCGATTTGGAATCATATTTTTAAATAAATAATAATATTTATGCTCTACTTTTGTATCGGGCACTATTTTTAAAAAATAACTAAAAATACTAAGGAACTTTGGATTATTTACCTAACCAGTTCCTTCCTATTTTCTATATATTTTCATATATATATATATATATATATATATATATATATATATATATATATATATATATACGTGTGAAAAGACAATTACATTAATGTCTACTTAAACAATTACATTAATGTATATTTAAATTTATTATATATATATATATATATATATATATATATATATATATATATGGACATACAGACAGGTAGGCCGCTCAGTATATTATTATATATATTAATGTGCGTGTGCGTATGTTTTTGTGCGTTTAGCTGTGTATATAATTTTAATAACCAGTAATGTACTTATGTTTTCCTCTTTCGAGAGAATCGTACACGTTTTTCCAATGTGCGCATTTATGGAAAATACATTAATATAGATGCAGAGTGTCTGTGCGTAAAGTGAAATATCCCACCATGAATTAATGGTAAAATTACACGTGTAAAATTACGGCCATCTTGTTTTTTTTTGTTTTTTTTAAAAAAAAAAAAAGAAAATGCTGATGAAAAATTTAATCTTCCATTAGTGTGTCAAACAACTTTTCTTTTTCAACTTACTGATGTACTTATATATTTCCTTCCGAAAATGGAAAAAGTTAATTTTATTTCAACTAGCAGGGTCAGCCGATATTTCCCGGGAAATAAATAACAAAAAAAAGTATCTCTCGTTTTCTTAAGAAATACAGTATATTAGGTTTCTGACTATACAAATTAGAGTGTTCGGTTTTTAATTGTGCATTCATCCCAAAAGGGCGCACTTCGACGCGGTGTAATGGATAGCAAGCTTGTCTTGCTAAATCAATCAAGACTGAATAGTGAGTTCGATCCTCACTGGATGCCCCATACTTTCGGCCTTGTGCCACATCTAAGCTATGCTTAGAAAATCGCTTTTCATCCCAAACGTTTTTTTTTTCATGCCAGCAATGCTCTGAACATTTTTAACGATCTTCAGTCCTGTCATGAAATGTTTGAAGTATAAAACGAACCACACCATTGACAAACCTTCTATCTCTCTCTCTCTCTCCCTCTCTCTCTCTCTCGTAGACACAAAAACACACATAGGTAGCTAAATAGATAGCAGACGTAGAATCCTCGCGCCATAATGATTGGTAGATCTACGAATAAAGCGAACATCAGACTATGTTTTCTTTTAAGCATAGATACATACGTTTGAAATCCCTCAACTCTGGCTCAGTGGATAGACCCAAAGTGTTGTGAGTTCAGTACGGGACGTCAACAATGGTGAACCAAAACTTAGAGAATTGAGCTAAAGGTAAATAACAGATATCCGGAAGAGGCATGGAACGTGAAACAAGATTAGTCTACCCCGGTCGACGAAATGAAAGGTACGGTTCGAAATGCCAATTACCTGAAGATAGCCGGAGAGTACAATAGCCGAAACATTGTGAATATGGCAATGAAGATGAGGATAACAGAATAATGTAAATAATGCAAGTAATCATAATAATCTCAGAGATATAGACAGGCATAATATATCTATCTATATAATGTACATTCTGTCATGGGTCCTTACCTATAACTACAGAATGAACTCCCTTTTTTTTTTCTGTCATGGGTCCTTACCTATAACTACAGAATGAACTCTTCCTAACACTATGTATACTACGCATCTCAAGAGAAAGGGTCGAATCAAGCTGACCTTCTCAGTTTGACGGTCGAACTCTCTGCCTCTGAGCAGAGAGAAACCCAGACGAGGCTTCGACGAAGGGCAGAGTCTCGTTCGGGGAGGTTGACCAACCCGATCCCGTTTACACGAGTTCTATGGGCATTTTTGGCTGAGCCTACGGGCTCGTAAAACCCACATTAAACTAGGCCTTGTGCCACATGCTACCCTCTTGGGGGTGGCTAGATACCAAATCGAGCCGAGCTTCTCGACTTGACGGTCGAACTCTCTGCCTCTGAGCAGGGAGGAACCCGGACAAGGCTCCGCCGAAGGGCAGAGTCTCGTTCGGGGGGTTGATCAACCCGATTCTGTTTTTAGTTTCTACAGGTAATTTTTTTGCCGAGTCTACGGGCTCGGGAAACCCACGTTAAACTCGGCCTTGTGCCACATGCAACCCTCGTGGGGTGGGGCTAGATACCGAATGGAGTCGAGCCGTTTCGGCTTGACGGTCGAACTCTCTGCCTCTGAGCAGAGAGGAACCCAGACGAGGCTCCGCCGAAAGGTAGAGCCTCGTTCGGGGAGGTTGACTAACCAGATTCTGTTTTTACAGTTTCTATGAGCATTTTTTGGCCGAGCCTATGGGCTCGGAAAACCCACGTAAAACTCGGCCTTGTGTCACATCTTTCCCTCGTGGGGGAGGCAAGTAAATATCGAATCGAGTCGAGCCGATAGTAGTTCACTCCAGACCAGACTGACAGTCATACTAACACCTTTCACATCTTGTATTATTATTTCGTGTAATATACCTTCGTAATTTCTGCTCTTGTGTTCGTGCTGTTCTTCCTTGGTCCTAACCTGGAACATAACACATACACACAAAGACAAACACACCAACAAATATATCGGCATTTCCGACGCGCAGATTAGATGTGGAAAAGTTTGAAAGTAGAAACCACCTAGTGAGGATCGAAGTCAGTATTCAGTCGTAATTGATCTAGTGAGACAAGGTTGCTATCGATTATACCACATCGAAGTATCCACACATGCTGAATGCAAGAGAGGAAAACAATGCATAGGCTACTTGGTGAGATTGAGTAAGTTGTTGGTGTAACACGGTTTAGGAGAGATTACCAAAAAAAGTGTGAAGAGCTACAAACGATAGGAAATTGAGGAGAGCCATAATCAGCTACGTCCTGAATAGGCATATTACATAGAAGAAGAAAAATAATGTCAATCTTCGAATGTTTTTGATTGCAGCAGTCTATACGCGTTCGACAATGTCAAATGTTCTGTATAATTTCAAAGGATTGCTGACCAATTTGGAGAAGTTAGTCTTAGTTCATTAAATTGTTTTTGTCAACCTCTTGTGCAGGTTATTTAATCATAGAAAATATATTTAGATTGTAAGAAGTTTTGAGATAATAATGATTTATTGATATAAATAACTTTTATTTCGCTCACTGGGGTATTTATTTGTTTTTATCAGAGCTCATCTTGAAATTTTTTGTTATGATTTTGTTGTTACAAAAATTGCAATATGAACTTTGGTAAAAAACATGCAATGATAACAGCAAAAATTGCAATATGAGCACTGGTAAAAAAATTGTTGCTGAAGACATTAGGCTTATAATACCCAGAAATACACATGCACACAAGGATACATAGCACAGTGGATAAAGGTGTTGGTTAGATCCAGTGACAGGACCCAAAGAGTGTGAGTTCAATACCCGGTTAAGGCAGTGGGAAATTAAAGGAGGCAACTGATAACTGACATCCATTAAACATGGCATGTGGAACTAGAACAGAATAGAATAGTTCAGTTCGACATTTTGACCACCTGAAGAAGGCCGGAGCGTACAACAGCCGAAACGTTGTAATAAACATGGCGACAAAGATGAGGACAATATTCCGAATAATGTATATAGTGAACCGTTTGGCGTTTCAGAGAAATAAAATGAGCAATATATATATATATATATATCATTTGTAATGGTTGTAGGTATATCGCTAGTAGTCATGGGCAATGGACCATGATCTATGGCTCATCACAAGGCGGGCCACCCTACTAAACAGATACAAGACAATTTATCGTAGTAAGTACCTCAGCTATTTTCACTACAGAAAAGAGTTTGCGTAAACATATACCTTAAAAAAATTTATTCTTTAGAAAATATTTTTTTTATGATAAAAAATTGATATAATATTATCACGTGATGACAACGTGATTAACACATGTTTATTATTTCTAATTTATTCATTTGAAAATTAAAATATTTTTAGAGAAAAAATTCTCATGAAAGTTTTCTGTTTCAAAAGCAAAAGATATATAGACGTATGATCTTTCGTAAAATCACCAATTGTTTTAAACTTTACTTTCCCCCGATGTTTGACAAAATTCAAGAAACATTGTATTTCATAATTGTTAATGTACGTGTTTACGTATGAGAGAGTTGGTGAGTGAACAAGTGAGAGCGAAACAAGTGAAGATTTAAGGTTATTTTACTTATGAAATTAAGCGAGCCATTTAGAAAGACCGAACGGGTCACATGTGGCCAGTGGGCCGCAATTGTGCCTATGACTGATCTATAGCATCGTATCCTGTCCAGTTGAATTCATCAAATATGAGATTGAAATAAAAGTAAGTATTTCAGTGAGTAGTTCACAAATTCTTCTTCGAAGTTGGGTCATGCAAAAACAGGATCACAGATTATAGAGCCGACGAAAACTTGAAAATACGATACGTACAATACGTACAATAGGAAGTATATATATCGGGATTTTAAACGAAGTTTACATTCGTTAAACAAGTGCGGATTAAATGAATATGCGAATAATTGAAGTAACCGTGTATCGAGTTTGTCTGTTCATTATATATTTATCAATAAATTGTCTGCTCATATCTGTCTATCTCAGTCTGCTCATATCTATCTATCCATTGCTGTCTTTTCATATCTATCTATCTACCTATTTATCTTTCTATCTATTGCTGTCTTCTCATATCTATCTATCTATCTATCTATCTATCTATCTATCTATCCTCATCTATCTTATCTATCTATCTATCTATCTATCTATCTATCTATTGCTGCCTTCTCATATCTATCTATCTATCTATTGCTGTCTTCTCATATCTATCTATCTACCTATTTATCTTTCTATCTATTGCTGTCTTCTCATATCTATCTATCTATCTATCTATCTATCTATCTATCTATCTATTGCTGTCTTCTCATATCTATCAATCTATCTTTCTATCTATCTATTGCTGTCTTCTCATATCTATCTATCTATCTATCTATCTATCTATCTATTGCTGTCTTCTCATATCTATCTATCTATCTATCTATCTATCTATCTATCTATCTATCTATCTATCTATCTATCTATTATCTATTTATTCTATCTATATTTATCAAGGTCTATTCATCTATCTATCTATCTATCTATTTTCATCTATCTATTCATACTTATCTATCTATCTATTTTCAAGGTCTATTCATATCTATCTATCTATCTATTTTCAAGGTCTATTCTATTCATATCTATCTATCTATCTATCTATTTTTCATACTATCTATTCATATCTATCTATCTAGCTAGCTATCAAGGACAAAGTCCGACAATTATTTTAAGACATTTTTATATTTATACGTTCTTTTTATAGATACAAATATTTAAGTAAATTCTCTGTTTTATAATAAACAGTATTAACGATATTTACCGGCCTGAATGTCCGAGAAATTTTCATAGAAAATATGTGTCCTCCGACAGGAATCGAAACTGTATCCTATACGGAACCGTCATATAGCCTACAGTGCTTTAACCGATTGGGCCACAGAGGAACGTTCGGTTACAAGGTCGATTTTACTGTTTTTAAACACAATTCTCCATGATTTTTTGCCATTCATTTATATCTGCTCAATGCATATCAAATGTAAACAAATGACGTTATATATTATGAAATGGACAAAGTCCGACATTTTTATCTATCTATCTATCTATCTATCTATCTATGCCTATTCATACTTTATCTATCTATCTATGCCTATTCATACTTTATCTATCTATCTATCTATCTATCTATCTATCTATCTATCTATCTAGCAATCTATGCCTATTCATACTTATCTATCTATCTATCTATCTATCTATCTATCTATTCATCTATCAATCTATCTATCTATCTATCTATCTATCTATCTATCTCCTTATCTTCATCTACCTATCTCGATAGATAGATAGATAGCATTGAATGCCGTCCAATATCTATCCTCATTTTTAGTCATTCCCCCCCCAAAAAAAAAGCGGAAATGCCACTAGCACGCTAGTTACAGGGAGAGAAAGTTAAAACTGAGAAAAGGAAAGATTGAGAAAAGATAAATGATAAACGGGATTCAAGAACACAGAAGATGGCGATTGGCATTATATTTAAATTTTTGAATTTTGTAGAAGGTGCGATGCATGAATTTTCGCCATTTTATATTTTTAATTTCGACTGTAGATTGCACAGTAGAGTAGGGACAGTTGGGCACCGGCTGTCTGAAAAAGAGTACCTTGACGCAATTATCTTCGCCAGAAATTTAGAATCGATATTTTAGTATGTTTGGCTGTTAATCTGAGGACAGTACCAACGATTCGGAAAAAGTTTGATGACTCTGATCTTGATTATGAAGGTACTGATGCTCGATAAACTCACTTTGATCGTTCTAATAAGAAAAGAAATCAATAATATGTTGATGAGGGCCTCAGATTCAACACGGAGGCGTACATCAAGTGCCTTGAGAAGGCTGTGCTTCCATGAGTCAAGCGGATGGCTGCCTATATCTGGCAACAGTACTCTTTACAATGCCATAAAAGTAGGAGTACCCAGTTGTGGCTGTCAAAAACTTTCTTCAGTATTTCAAGATATTTTTGTGTGATATTGGTCAATTCATCTGTTAAAATGCGATGTCAGTTTTGTTTTCATTTTTGCATAATTTAGACGAAAATTTATTCATCGCATCATTTGTTTCTCAAAGAAGCAAGTAAACGGAGTTCCTCAGGCGGCAGGTGTGAGAAAAGAAGCTGTTGGATCAGGTGGTTATCTATCTATCTATCTATCTATCTATCTATCTATTCATACCTATTTATCTCAGTCTGTTCGTCTACCTGTCTTTTTATCTATCTATCGACGGGGCTAGTGTGTTCATATCAAACTAACCAACAAAGAAGCTATGTTAATTTGTTTAGATATATGAATAAAAGCACATATAGATAGGGGATTAATATACACTACCTATCTATCTGTCTATCTAGTTATCTATCCCAGTCGATTCCTGATTATCTATCTCAGTAAATTCATATCTATCTATCTATCTATCTATCTATCTATCTATCTATCTATCTATCTATCTATCTATCTATCTCAGTCTGTTCCTATCTATCTATGTATCTAGCTAGCTAGCTAGCTAGCTATCCCAGTCAATTTCTGCTTATCTATCTCAGTCAATTCATATCTATCAATCTATTTAGCTATCAATCACAGTCAATTCCTGCTTATCTCTCTATCTCAGTCAATTCATATCTATCTATCTATCTATCTATCTATCTATCTATCTATCTATCTATCTATCTATCTCAGCCTGTTCCTATCTATCTATCTATCTATCCAAGTCTGATCGTATCTAGCTATCTATCTCAGCCTGTTCCTATCTATCTATCTATCTATCTATCTATCTATCTATCTATCTATCTATCTATCTATCTATCATCTGTTCCTATCTATCTATCTATCTATCTATCTATTTTTTAGATGTATGTATATTCTGAGAATTAACTAGAAAACCAAACTATTTCTCTCCTCGTATCTGTCTATGTCTCTATATATCAATATATCTCTGTCTTTATGCAGTTTGACTTCTTCTACTGTTTAACAAGCTTGCATTGTTTGATCAATTACAACTGAGTAGTGAGTTAAATCCTCACTGAGCACCCCACACATTCGGCTTTGTGCCACATGTAAGATACGCGTATAAAATCAGTATAACTTTCTATCCTTGTTGTCTGCACCTACCTATCTCAGTTTGTTCATATCTACGTAACTGTCAGTTTTGTGTGATCCTGTCTAGGTCTATATGTCTATGTATGTATATATCTATTCATATATTGTCTATCCACGTTATCAGCTACTATCTGTCTCGCTACCTATCTGTTTCCCTTGTCTTCTCATATCTATTTTTATAAAATGATTCAATGAATTTGAACAGCGCAAAATAAGAGGCCAACTCTTGTGAGCAGAAGCCGTATTAAAAACGCAGCCTAATGGGAAATGATACCATTTCGAGGTGGAAATTACGTATTAAATTAAATAATTTTTTGCAACTAAATCTTCCGGATTTGGTAGAATCACATTTCTTCTCTCACTCTCTGTCTCTCACTCTCCGTCTCTCTATCTCTTTCTCTCTGTCTTTCTATCTCTGTCCCTCTCTGTCTCTGTGTGTGTGTGTGTGTCTGTCTGTCTGTCTCTCTCTCTCTATATATATATATAATATATATATATATATATATATATATATATAAAATGTATATGAGCAAATGTTTAAATATAGATAGATGTACGAGCGAGCTATTAAATAACAGTGCTATTTAAAGTATATTAAGATTAACATAATAGCTTACATTGATTGCACAACTCAAATCGGAGTTTCATGCCGAAGCAATTATCAAGTGCTGCCATTTTTGTTTCAACACCAGTTGAATGAAATTTCTGTTTATCCCGAGATGCATTCTTGTGGTTGATTATTATTGGTGTTACAATATTTAAATGAATTGTAGTTTAATTTTGAATTTGAATTTAAGCACAGATTAATATCTAAGACTGAAAATGAGGTTGGAGATAAGAATTATAAATTCTAATTTAGAGAGAGGCTGGCGGAATTAAATTAATAAAGAAGATACGTTAGAAAATCAAGGGGGGTAACTCTCGTTTTTTCCATGAAAATCAATAGAGTTTAATCTTAATATTGCTAAAATAAAAGTAGTGATATCAATAATCACGTAATAATAATAATAATAATAGTAATAAAATGTGCCGTGGTAAAATAAAATAAAATTAAAGTATAAATAGAAATAATATATATGAATGAAAATAAAATAATATAAAATAAGATAAAGTAAAAAAAAATAAGAGACATATATTGAGGAATATATAGATATGTAGATACATAAATAAATAAATAGAAACATGTAAACAATTAAATAAATGGGGCAAATACATGACTAATTAAATAAAAATAATAAATTCAAATAGATAAGTAAATAAACACGTTTCTAGTACGACTAGAGGTAATAGAAAAGGCAAAAACAAGACAATAATAGTAGTTATATACTAAAAAGGGTAATGATACTTTAAAGGAAATAATGGATTAGCAAAAAAAGTGTTAAATTCGTTACCGTCTAATATTAACCATAGTTAAATAGAGAAAAAGGTAGCAAAATGTAAAAAGTAAAAATAGTAATAAAATAATATAAGTACTATCATATGTTTGAGTAGAAATTTGGTTCTACATATGCAGGTGCTCATCAACTCGCTACTTTGGTTTAAGAGATTGGCATTTTCTGTATTTTTCAGGATTATTAATTTTTCCGTAAGACGCAAGTTACATTTTTTGCTTTTCACGCTGAAGGGATTTTCCACAAAAATTTAGAGAGAGCAGTGCTGTTACTATATTTTATATAGCCTAATACAATTTGGTGGTGGAAGAAGCGCAATTTTCATTGATTTTCAGTTCATCCGACATAAAACCTCGACATCATATTTGATTTCAACTTTATAAACTAAGTGTTTGGACATACATTTAGCGTGTAATTAGCAAGGTTTGCTAATTATTCACCTGCTATTATTATTTGTGGAGTAGTTGTTGCATTGAAGATTATTGATATGCTTAGTAAGTGTTGGGGAATGACTGAACTGCTTATGGAAGCGTACATCAGTAATTCCCTAACACTTAATAGTATATAAAATAGCACAGCACAGCAGGGCTGTTTCATTCGAAACAAGCATTTCCACATGAAAGAAAAGAAAAAGAACAATATAGAATAATATTCTGAAGCACACACACACACATATATATAGGTACACACATATATACATATATATATGCATAGATATATATACATACATATATATGTAAGCAAATATATGGATCCGACAGTATGAAGAAAAATATACGGAAAAAACAAACAAAAATCCTAATATGCAATTATGCTGTTTTAATGTTAATATAATGTCAACGTCGGACGTTTCGGTCTAGTGGACCATCTTCAGGACATATTCATAAAACATAATTAACATTCGACTATAATTAATTCAACATGAAAAGACGATGGACATAAGAGTAAGACAAATCCCAAAATACACACACACACACACACACACACACACACACACACACATATATATATATATATATACATAGATATGCATACATATATATATATATACACACACACACATATATATATATATATATATATATATATATATATATGCATAAACATATATATATATACGTATGCATATATAAGATATATATAAATACATATACATATATATATA